TAAATATTTATTTTTATTTAAAATAAATAAATAAATAAATGGGAAAATGTAGATTAAAAAAAAGAAAAGGAAAGTTGAGAACCAAGAACTAAAACAAATACAGAGAAGCTGACAGAGAGATGGTCAGGTCACAAAGAAAGAGTAGTTGCCAAAGGATGAAAAAGTAGAAAGATGTGGACTGAGGGATGCTGCACCATGTGGAAAGAGGGCCGAGCAGGCAGAGCCTAGAGAAGTGGAGTAGGAAAGAAATAGAAAGGAGAGGTGAAGAGACAGAGTCAGTACTCCAGGATGCTGTTACTATATCCATTTTTGGAGCCCTGTAAGATTTGTTCTCATTCCTAGTTCTGACTTTTGGTATCTAGATCTTCAGTAATATCATAGATACAAATTCTTAAACCTTTTTCTGGTGTACCTCTTACATTCACTTGACAAATATGCACTTGACACCTAGTCCACCCCAGGCACTGTGCTGTGCATTAGGTATACCTCAGCAAATCAGACTGGCACCGGCCCTGCCTCTGGGGAGCTTCCAGATGAAACAGAAACATCATTGCATTGGTGTCCCCCGCCCTGGGCACTGTGCTTGGGAAGGCTCCACTCTGGAGCTCTTCCAGCTAGGTGCCATGGAGTGAGGAAGCCAGGCCTCTTCTGTGCACACACCCAGTCCCCTTCTGGGCCACACTCCAGAACTCCAGGATTCTAGGGCCCACATGGACCTCTTCCCTGGGTTGCCCATCCAAGCGTAGACCAAACTACCCGTTCACACATTCCTAGACCTAACAAATGGCCAAGGGGTGGCTGTTTGCAGAAGGCTATGGACAGGATTAGGATTTATAGACAGAGGGGTCCACATACATGAACATGAGGCCCCTGCAGTACAAGACTGTGTCAGGAGTGGGAAAAGAGGTGGACCTGAGGACTGGTAGCTGGCTCTCCCCACACCACCACATTCTACTGGGGAATCCTGAGGATTCCAAATAAAATCAAATGTGAACCCATGTTAAGTATGGGCCTACCTAAAAACAAACCATTGTAACTGAGACGAGTCCTATGAAGGAGAAGGGCAGGGTAGGAAAGAGGTAAACATATTCAGTAAACTAAAAAAGACAAATGGGGCCAGAGAGTAGAACCTAGGAAATGGAGGAAGAGTGGTGGCAGATGAGGGTGGAGAAGTCCATAGGTGCCAGATCACGCAGAGCCTTGTAGACCAAGTTTAGAATGTGGGCTTTATTCTAAGAGCAGTGAGAAGCTGGGAGCGTTTGAGATCTTACTCCCCAGCATATGTTGTCAGTATGACTCAAATAAACTCTTATAAAAATTATCTAAAAATAAACAAATAAATATGAGCAGTGAGAAGCTATTGAAGGGCTTTCAGTGGAGACCTGATGTAATCAAATTATTTTTAAAAGACCACTTTGGATCTAGTGTGGAAGAAAGCAAAAATGGAATCGGAGTCAGATAAGGAAGTTAATGGAGCATCCAAATTGAGTTTGGGGAAAATCTTAGGCTGGACACAAACTGAGATGAAAACTTATGTACAGGTGGCTTATTAGGGAAGACTTTCAAAGGGAGTGAGAGAAGCAGGACTGGGCAGGGGGAAAGTTGAAATGCATTACAGTTGCAACAGAATAGACTTCAGCTGATTCTATAGAATCTCTGGAGCTGGGATGAACTTTCAGAGTTGTTTCAATTTGAGGCTAAGGGACCAGGCCTTTGAACCTGTCATTGGTGACATGTTATCCCAGGAAAGGGGCATTGCATTTGATAAGACAGTTTCCTTCAGTCACAGGTAGTTCTCAGGGAAACATTCAGCTGTGAACCATCAGGAGCCAACACTCAGTGGCTGGGACAATGAGCATCATGATTCTGAAGGGGAATCTAGGCAGCAGCTCACCACAGCATTCACTATAGGGTGTCTGTGAGCCATCCGATATCTCCTCCCCCTCTCCTCCTCCTCCCGCCCCTCCCCCTCCTGTCCACAATGCCCTGGGAAGAAGAAAATGCAGACCAGAGTAAGGTTGGTCACACGCTGCCCCCTGGTGGTATGCCATGGACAGGACACTGGTCAGCTGGTGGGCCAGGCTGCCAGGAGGGCCAGGAAACAAAGTGTGTTTCCTGGATAGGGGAATCAGCAGAACAAGGAAATCCTCTCAGGAGCCCCTTGCGCAGTCTGCCTAAAATTAAGGAAGGAAGAAAAAGGAGGGGAAGGATTCAGAAACATGGGTGGGACTTATTCATTCTTTCATTCAACCAACATTTAATAAGTGCCTATCATAGGCCAGATTCTGTAGGGAGCTATGATAAAAACAAGACCAATTTTTAAATTATTATTATTTTTAATATCCTTTTTATTGTTTTTTTAAATATATTTTATTGATTTTATACAGAGAGGAAGGGAGAGAGATAGAGAGTTAGAAACATCGATGAGAGAGAGTCATCGATCAGCAGCCTCTTGCATACCCCCCACTGGGGATATGCCCGCAACCAAGGTACATGCCCTTGACCGGAATCGAACCCGGAACCCTTCAGTCCCCAAGCCGACGCTCTATCCATTGAGCCAAACCGGTCCTGGCTCCTTTTTATTGTTGATGTATTACAGGTCTCTCCCCTTCCCCCCCCCCCACCCTGGCCCCTTTACCTTTATTTACCTCCTTCCTCCCTGCCCTTTACCTCCTATCCCCCACCATGTCTTCACTACCTTATTGCCCATGTCCATGGGCCATGCCTATAAGTAAGTTCCTTGGTTTATCTCTTCTCATTCCCCCAACCTCAAATTGAGTTATGTCAGTCTATTCCATGCCTCCATGCTTCAGGTCTTATTTTGTTGGTCATTTCGTTCCATTCATTAGATTCTACAAATAAGTGAGATCATGTTATATTTGTCTTTCTAAGATTGGCTTATTTCACTTAGCATAATACATGCCAGATCTATCCATGCTGTCCCAAGGGTAAGAGATCCATCCTTTTTTCAGTTGCACAGTATTCCCTTGTGTAAATGTCCCACAGATTTTTTTAATCCATTCATCTACTGATGAACATTTGGAGGGTAGCTTGATGGAGGGGAAGGGTTGCATTTGGAGGAATAGGAGGCCAAGAAGTGACATGAAAGCCATCACCTGAAACCAGATGAGAGATGAACCCTGCACTAAAACAGTGGCTATGGGGATAGACACAGACTTGAGAGATAATTGTGAAGTATAAACCCAGAAGTCCTGGTGTCTGATTGGCTATAGAGGATAAAAAAGGAGTTGTCTGAACAGACTCAGGTTCTTCTGGGGCAACTGGCTAGATGGTAGAGCCATTTGCTGAGATATGGAACCATAAGAGCAGGAGAGGATTATGGAAGAAATGAGGACCTTTGGTAGGTTGACCAGCCCACCAGTGTGCACATTTTTATGCCCAAAGGGGCAAATAGGCAGCTTACTGCAGTGGGATGAGTGTGGACAGAGTTTAGATGTTGGAACTGGAGGGAAGAGCCCCAAATACATATACATGAGGTTGAGTGCAGGATGGAGCAGAAGAGAGGAAGACCAGCAGCAAAGCCAAGGCTACAGACCAGCTCTCCTTGTTTCACCATGCTCCAGCATAGCACTCTGAGAAATTTAGAATCTAAATGGTTTCTGTTGCAAATGACAGAAATGCACTTAAAATTAGCTTGAACAGCCGTGGCCAGTGTGACTCGGTTGGAGCATCGCCCTGGTACTCCAAAAGGTGGTAGATTCAATTCCTGGTCAAGAAACACACCCAGGTTGCAGGTTCTACTCCCTCTCTGTTCCTCTCTCTTAAGAAAATTATTATAGCTTGAGCAAGAGAAATAAATTGATCTCTAAATTTGAATTCTAAATCACAAATTTGATTCTCTCCATTCCCCTGCTCTGCGTCCTCTAGGCTGGCTTCCATCTCGGCAGGTTCCTGCTTTGCAGTGCTAAGCTGACACCCAGAAGCTCCAGGCTTATAGTCTACTAGCTCAGCAACCTCAGCAGGACAGAAGCTTATTTTGAAAGTTTAAAGAAAAAGCCAAAGAGAGTGACCTCATCCCCATCCTTGAACATTTCCAATTGCTGAAGTCAGAGTGAGGAACACACAAATGGGCCAAGCTGAGAACCTACCCCCAGGAGACCCACATGACCACACAGACTGAAGAGGAGCATCAAGATGCTATTATCAGAAAGGGGGAGTGGATGCTGAGCAGATGCCTCCCACGGACATGTTAAGTTTGAGGTGCCGTGGCATTTGGGGTGATACCCAGTGGTCTCAAATTGAAGAAAAAATGTAGATATAACTTGAGAAATTACCTGAGGACTTTTATGATGGTGGTTAGGTGGGGCAGATGCTTTCTCCAGGGGAATGTGGAAAGAATGACCACGGCAGAGGCCCCAAAAAGACTGGCGTGAAAACTGCTTCATGGTAAGGCAGCAGGGAGACCTCATCTGGAGGAGAAGAAACAAGGATTTGGGAATTGGGGACTGAAGAGACCTTAGAATTGAGACCCTGCAAATCACAAGAGCCTGGGGCTCCGAGTGCCCAGTCCCTGGGAAGAATGTAATGCCCAACACCAGCTAACAGACTTCCAGGCCCCGTGGACTCCAGCCCCTGGCTTGTTTGCCACCCAGCGTCTCCAGTCTACCGGGAGCAAGAGTCCTCAAAGTTACATCATGTGCTGTGGGCTGGGCGGGGCGGAGCCTCGAGGAGAGCAGCCGGTCCCCCAATGGGAGAGACAGGGTTGAGGGCTAGGATGCGGGGGGTGGGGTGCAGCTGGGCGGGCCTGGGACTGGGTGTCCCGGACGGACCGAGCGCCCGCCGGCTGGCGTGGCCGGGAGAGGGTCGCGCTGGCCCGGCGAGGTCCCGCCCCTGCATCCGCCCGCCCGCCCGCTTCTTAAGCGCCTCCCGCCCAGTCTCAGCTCCCTGGCGCCCCACCGCGCGCTCTCTTTCCGCCTTCCATCTCTCCCAGGCAGGCTCCGCTACGTTCCGTGCCACCCCACGGCCCCCGCCCAGGTGCCATGGCCGCTGTGTACCGCACGGGCCTGCGGTGAGTGACCCCCAGTCCGGGGCCGACCCGCACCTTGCAAGGAGTTCACCCGCGTGGGGCTGCCAGCTGCACCCTCCTGCTGGTCAGCCTCCATCTGGCTTCCCATCCAAGGGGGCAGCGGGCAGGGGGCGAGTGTTTCTCGATCCCAAGCTGCTCTGGGATCAGGGGCTGCCTCAGCAGCTCCGTTCGGTCTCCCCGCTTCCGTCCCCTCCTACCCGCCCTGCTCTGCGGGTCTCTGCCCCGCGGTCTCTGTATGACGTTCAGTACTTCCTTCTACCTCCTCGCTCGCCCCCGCGAAGCCCCTTTCTGAGTCTGTCCCCTTTCCTCTACAGATGTAACTCTTGTGCTCACGTTGCCACGAGGAGCAGAAAGACCCTGGGGTCAAGGGTGCAAGAGTCCAGGGATCTGGCGCTCAGCTCCCTAATGTAAACATCCATTGACCTGCCGCCACCACTGGGACCTGGCGGGAAGCCGAGGGACCTGGGGCGAGGGGAAGAAGGGAGGAGGAAGGATCCACGTTGCCTCCAATTCATATATGGCTGGCTTTACCCCCAGTTCAGGACAGGAACCCTTAGGCCCTTGCTTGTCTGCCTTCCCCTTTTCACAGCTTCCTGTCTTGCCTCTGTAGCCTCCCTTCTCCTCAGGTTTTGTTCCAGAATTTGAACTGACCCTATCTCTCTCCCACAGCTGGTTCAGTTAGCCAGCCCGCACATAGGTGGTCTCTGGAGCAGAGAGAGGAGAAGGTCTTAGTTAGAGGACTGGAGGGAGTGGGGGAGCCTCACCAGACTTCCTTGCAGAGGCTTTCTCCAGACTGTACCTTTAAGATTCGTGCTCAGGGAACACTTCCCCCTGAGGCAGGAACAGACCCAGGTCCCAGGCACCCTCCTCCTTTGCCCCTGGGACCACACTGGGTTCCCATTTCACTCTGCCCAGTGGAAGCCACCCCAGTTCCCACTCCAGCCAGGCTCCAACTCCCACATCTATGGTTTGAGGCTTCTTCCTCCCCCAGGCTTACGCCCTCTGAATTTGAGCTTCCTGCAGTTTGCTGTTGCACCCTACCAGCAACACCCAAAGCTCTCTAGGCATATGTCCTCTAGGAAAGAGAGGAGGGAGGCGGGGGGGGGGGGGGGGGGGGGGGGAGATAAGATCATGTGCCCCTAGGTGTGTGGGGCATAGGAGGGCAACTTCCCTTTCCTGGCCTTTGGTCCAATCAGAGCGGACCTTGCTTCTCCCTCTCCCAGGAAAGTGAAGGGAGAGACAACAGGGACCATACACTCCTGGGAAACAGGGCATGCTCAGCCAGTGACATTTCCCAATAGTCAGCCTTTCATATGGTTCAAAAGTAACTACCCAATGGCAATATTTTTGCAATCCTTTTGGACCAGGTGGGCGCAGCAGATCTGATGGCTGAGACCCAACATCTGATCACCTACTCACTGTGCAAGAGTCCTAATCTAGAAACCTGGGACTGTACCATCTCAAAGAACAGGTTCTTTGCACGAGGTTTTTACAGTCTTACAGCATGCACACAGAAGAAATAAATAAAAATAGCCCTAACCGGTTTGGCTCAGTGAATAGAGTGTCAGCCTTTCGACTGAAGGGTCCCAGGTTCAATTCCAATCAAGGGCATGTACCTTGGTTGCGGGCACACATCCCCAATAGGGAGTGTGCAGGAGGCAGCTGATCAATGTTTCTCTCTCATCGATGTTTCTAACTCTCTAACCCTCCCCTTCCTCTCTGTAAAAAAAACAATAAAATATATTTTAAAAATAAAAATAGCTGCCTTTTTAACTTTTAAAAAAGAGACTTGAGAATGGAAAGCACAGGGATGAGAGCTTCCAATACCAAACATGAAGCTGTCACCTAGGCACAGTTTCCATACTTGGGCCTTGGGCACCTGTTCATTTATAAACATTGACCAGATCTAGTTAAACATGGGTATAGACTAGGCCCACAAAAACATTAGCATGCCTATACATGTACTTCTACATAGCACAGCCTTTATGGTCATTTGGCAATACCTACCCATTGTGACCAGGAGACACCCTGACTAAGCTTCATAAAGGCCACAAGATACACATCACCTGAACCTATTATCCCTCATACCTACTCCAACCTGCTCTTCATGAGACCTGCACCCAGATGCTTTAGCATGCTCCCTAGCCGCCCCAGCTTCCTATCCTCTTGACTTGCCTATCCTGGCTCATTACCTGTTTTTTTTCTCTCACAGGCTTAGCTGGCATAGGCTGAGCCCCTATGGCTGGTCATCCCAGCGCAGCATCCAGACGCTGCGAGTACTCAATGGCGATCTGGGCCAGCTGCCTACTGGGGTTCGAGACTTTGTGGAGCGTAGTGTACGTCTGTGCCAACCAGAGGGCATCCACATCTGTGATGGGACTGAGGCAGAGAACTCTGCCACACTGACCCTGCTGGAGCAGCAGGGACTCATCCAAAAACTCCCCAAGTACAATAACTGGTAAGCCCTGGGCCCAGCAACCCACAAGATGGGGGCAGCTGCTTAGACTGAGACCACTCACTTTGTCTTTACCAAGACAAGAGCCACATGCGGCTCTTTGGCCCCTTGAGTGTGGCCCTTTCACAAAATACCATGGCCTGGGAGAGTTTATTTTGAAGAAGTGGCATTAGAAGAAGTTTAAGTTTAGTTAGAAAAAAATAAGTTTAAGTTTAAAAAATTTGGCTCCCAAAAGAAATTACAATCGTACTGTTGATTATTTTGCTCTGTTGACTAATGAGTTGAACACTGAACTAGACCATCTCACTGGAATGAGCAAGAACAGTAGGAGCTTTAGAGGAAACAAAATCAGGATTTACTGCGAGTGGTCTGTATTTTTATGTTAAATAAGGAAGCAGATACAAATAAAAGCTTTTTCTTTTCTTTTTCTCACAAGTTTGGGGAGTTTTTGCCAGGAAAAGGGGCCTTTAAGAGGTCTGGAACTACTTAATTAAATATGGGCTTGGGCTAAACCTGAAATAACATCAGCACCTGGCTCCCCTTCATTTGTCCCCTTAAATGGGACACAACCTGGAGGAAGATTGAGGTGCAAATGGATGGGGAAAACAGAAGGCCTGGAATCAAATTTGGACTTGAAAGGGTCTGGGGCTGAGGGAGACCTGCTGGCCACCGTCTTCCTGATAATCCTCTCTCCCCCAGCTGGCTGGCCCGCACAGACCCCAAGGATGTGGCACGAGTAGAGAGCAAGACGGTGATTGTAACTCCTTCTCAACGAGACACGGTGCCCATCCCGACTGGTGGGGCCCGGGGGCAGCTGGGCAACTGGATGTCCCCAGCTGAGTTCCAGCAAGCTGTGGATGAGAGGTTTCCAGGCTGCATGCAGGGTAATCAGGGCAGGGACACAGAGGCTAGGGCACTGGTGGTATTAATAGGTTGGAACCCTTCATCCAGGTGACATTTTCCCCACAGGCCGAACCATGTATGTGCTTCCATTCAGCATGGGTCCTGTGGGTTCCCCGCTGTCCCGCATCGGAGTGCAGCTCACCGACTCGGCCTACGTGGTGGCAAGCATGCGTATTATGACCCGGCTGGGGACGCCTGTGCTTCAGGCCCTCGGAGATGGTGACTTTGTCAAGTGTCTGCACTCTGTGGGCCGGCCCCTCACTGGGCAAGGTGAGCTCCTGCTCTGTCCACGGGAAGACACAAAGGCCTATTTACACTCAGAGGGAACCCCAAATCCTTCCCATCCTAATTAATGAGACACCTAATTCCCTAGGTCAGTCCAGCAGGTCTGGGTTGGGGGTGAAGCTGTCTGTAGAACAGTTTGCACAAGATTGAGAAAGTCTCTAAGAATAGAGAGATGATGGATATTATGAGGTGGGGGACTTCAGCCATCCATTGGCACCGCCATGGCTCTCAAGTGTCTTTCCTGCCAACCCCTGATCCCTTTCCAGTGTTTCCCAAACTTTTGACAAATGTGTACCCCTTCTATAATTTTCGTAACGCTGAGTACCCCTCATACTCATGAGAACATAGAATTAGGCGCAGCTAAGCACGATGCAGTGCATATCCCTACCAAACTCTTCCCGTACCCCTGGGGGTACGCATACCACACTTTGGGAAACACTGCGAACCCATTTCTGATGCTCCTGCTAGCATCCCCATGACCCCATTGTCCCCAGGGGAGCCGGTGAGCAAATGGCCATGCAATCCAGAGAAAACCCTGATTGGCCACGTGCCTGACCGGCGGGAAATCGTCTCCTTCGGCAGCGGCTATGGTGGCAACTCCCTGCTGGGCAAGAAGTGCTTTGCCCTTCGCATCGCCTCTCGGCTGGCCAGGGATGAGGGCTGGCTAGCGGAACACATGCTGGTGAGGACTGGGCAGCTGTGGGGGGGCCACGCAGTGGTGGGGCCTGACCAGTTTGCCTCAGCCTTGCCTCCCCACTGCCAAGTGCCAGACTGGTGGGCAGGGACTCTGCTAAATGTTGGGGGCTTCCCCTTGTTGCTACCCCTGGCCCAGTGGCAAGGCAATGCACCTGTTAAGTGAATAAACATCTGTCCTCCCTGTTTCTCGGTAGCTGCCCTTCCTGTGCAGACCATCCCCTGACCTTTGGTGACCTCCCCCTTGTTCCCGTTCTCCCCAACACACAGATCCTGGGTATCACCAGCCCTGCGGGGAAGAAGCGCTATGTGGCAGCCGCCTTCCCCAGTGCCTGTGGCAAGACGAACCTGGCCATGATGCGGCCAGCATTGCCAGGCTGGAAAGTGGAGTGTGTGGGGGATGACATCGCCTGGATGAGGTTTGACAGTGATGGTGAGTGGTCCTTGGATCATACTCTTGATTCTGGCTCTTACCAGAGCATAGAGGTCTCCCCTCCACTGCTCATGGTGAGCTTTGTCAGTAAGAAACTTCCTGAATAGTTGACCTTCCTCTGAAAATCCTGGCAGAGACACAAACCAGGATCCTTGTCAGATCTAGGGTCAAGCTTAAGGCAAAGAGGAACAAAGCAGGACCTTCCCTGGCCCACCCCTCAATTTCTCCTGGTTGGTCTTTTTCTTTCTTTCACTTAACAGGTCGACTCCGGGCCATCAACCCTGAGAATGGCTTCTTTGGTGTGGCCCCTGGAACCTCTGCCACCACCAATCCCAATGCTATGGCCACAATCCAAAGTAACACTATTTTCACCAACGTGGCTAAGACCAGCGATGGTGGCGTGTACTGGGAGGGCATTGACCAGCCTCTTCCACCTGGCGTCACCGTTACCTCCTGGCTGGGCAAGGCCTGGAAACCTGGTATGTGGGGCGGGGGAGTCATGACACAGCTCCCAGGGCTCAGCACTTGGATGACATAACATCTTTCACAACCCGCAGGCTTCTTCCAGGACCTCCAGGAGGCATAGGAAGTTATGAATGTTTGAAGTTTCTAACCCCAGGCAAGGTCTCAGTTCATATCCCAGCTCCATCAAGTTCTGGCTTTGTGACTTGGTTAAACTGCTTAACTTTCCGAGTGTCAGTTTCCCCATTAGTTGAATGGGGGTAGCATCTATCACAAAGTTGTTGGAGGATTAAATACATACAAAGGGTTTAGTACAGTACCAAACACATAGTAAATCCACCATAAATATATTTTATTTTTTAAAAGGTATGTTTTGAAAATTATTATAGAAGGAATAGGGTTCAAAACATAATTCATAAATTTTGACCTATTAGTAAGGGAGGAAGCCTCCCCTCTACCTGTGACTTGGTTCTCAACATCCCCCCATATAATAACCACTGTCTAAAGGTAAGTATTGTTGCCCTAGCCAGTTTTGCTCAGTGGCTAGAGCATCAGCCTGCGGACCAAAAGATCCCGGTTTTTATTCCGGTCAAGGGCATGTACCTGATCAGGATTGTGCAGGAGTCAACCAATCAATGTGTTTTCTCTCATATCCTTCTCTGTCCTTCCCTCTCTCTTCCATTCTCCTTAAAAATCAACGGAAAAATTCCTTAGGTGAGGATTACCAAAATAAATTAAATAAATACAGGTCAGTATTGTAATCCCTACCCTTTCCCAATCCCTCCAACACATTCTTCCAAACTGAATCAGACTAGTTCTTTAGCCTCTCCTAGAAGTGAGTTTCTCAATCCTGTAAATTTTCCCCATGCTTTGCAATACTTCCCTCTCCCCCAGCCCTGCACTCTGGCCTTCGGTTTTCTGTGGCCTCCAGCAGTCAGAGAGCCCAGAGACATAGGGATGGGGGCAAAGAAGAGCACGGTGGGGGAAGATGGCCCTGTGGTCACGGAAGCCTATACTCAAGTTTTCCACGCTGGCCTAGCAGTCACCCTCCTCATCTAATCACCCTTTATTTTCTTCAACATTATCATTAAGCCCTCCTCAGTCTTCCTACCCAACTAAGAAATCCGAGAAAATTTCATATTTCCCTACAGGCCGATTCCCCAACCCTTTCATCATTTCTGGATTCATGGCTATAACTAGAGCATTTTATTCCCAGTTTCAGTTCCCAGAATAACACCCTGTGCTAGGGACCTGAATTAGGGGCTGATGAAAGTGTAAGAGAGAGGGTAAAGGACAGCTCTTATTTGAGAGTGGAGGCAGGAGCTGGTGGGTGGAATAAGGGCAGGGATAACCAGCTGTTTAACTTCCTTGCCTCGTAGGTCTGACCAGCAACCTCCAGCAGAGAAGGCACCATGTCCATTTGGGGTCCCCAGGATAGTGCCCTACAAACTAATATACAATCTCCCCTGATTTGGTCCCAACGCATCTCTAGGGCACCTGAAGGGGCCAAATGACCTGGGCTCCTCAGGTTATGCCTGTCCAGATTATATCCTTGTCTGAGTTCTTCAAGCTTTATCACTCCATCAGGGACTAGGCAGACCCAGGGAAGTCACCAAAATTCTATTAGCTTTAAAATCAATTCCTATTTGCATTTTAAAAAAATATATTTTATTGAGTTTTTACAGAGAGGAAGGGAGGAGATAGTTAGAAATATTGATGGGAGAGAAACATCAATAAGCTGCCTCCTGCACACCTCCTACAGGGAATGTGCCCACAACCAAGGTACATGCCCTTGACTGGAATTAAACCAGGGACCTTTCAGTCCACAGGCTGATGCTCTATCCATTGAGCCAAACCAGTTAGGTCCCTATTTATATTTTGATAGCTCAGGGGTGCTGATGAAAAGTCAATTGTCTGAAATACTCACCAGACAGATTCAGTTTTTGCTTTAGGTTTGGGTATTTAAATAATATCCATAAATAAATCTTTTTTTGTGGTGGGGGACAGGGGAATTATGCCAATATCTAACTCCATTCTTTTGAACAGTGGTCCATGCCACATGGGCATAGTTTGGCATAAACATTAGTGTCTGCTGAACCCCAATTCCTCTCTCACTTTTCTCACACAGCTCAACTGTCAATACCATTATGGATAAATAACCTGATCTTTTAGGGGAAATGTCCTAACTCCCTACTCTCTATCACATGAGGTTGTAGGGAGCTGATGAGGCAAAAAGAAATTGTGCAAGAGTGCATGCATGTGTGTGCTGGGGGTGGATGTGCCCTTGGAAGTGATAGTATTTGTATTTCCTCTGCCAGGTGACAAGGAGCCCTGTGCACATCCCAACTCTCGCTTTTGTGCCCCTGCTCGCCAGTGTCCCATCATGGACCCAGCTTGGGAGGCTCCTGAGGGTGTCCCCATTGATGCTATCATCTTTGGAGGCCGCAGACCCAAAGGTAAACATTGTGTGGAAGCCATGCCGTGTCAGTAAAGGATCTGAGTCTACATCAGGGCCCAGCTCCCTCTTATACTTAAAGCTCAGATTGTCAACTATAGTTTGCATTCTCCCCTGGAGAATGCAAAACTGGGGGGAGGCATGAGGTTTGAAAATGGGACATTTCAAACCTTTCCTGAGGTTCTAGGAGATCAGGAGTCAGAATCACCAGAAAGGATGGAGTGAGTCCAATAAAAAGAATTGCCTTTGACCCTGTTCACTGGTGTTCTAGGAGTGCCCCTGGTATATGAGGCCTTTAACTGGCGCCACGGAGTGTTTGTGGGCAGTGCTATGCGCTCTGAGTCCACTGCTGCGGCTGAACACAAAGGTGAGAACCTTCCACTGTCCCTCTCCCATGTGCCCACATTGCCTCCTCTCTCCCTGCCTGGGCCAGACTTCCTCCTGCCACGCCCTTTCCCCATCCCTTTTCACCCTGCCCTGAGGAGATTCCAGAACCATGGACATTGTACAACTTCCTCCACCTGGATGCCAGGGTGCCCTTCTCTTTTCCAGTAAGCAGGAAGATTCCTTATCCATCCTTTCCCCTCCCCAGGGAAGGTGATCATGCATGACCCATTTGCCATGCGGCCCTTTTTTGGCTACAACTTTGGGCGCTATCTGGAACACTGGCTGAGCATGGAGGGGCGCAAGGGAGCCCGGCTGCCCCGCATCTTCCATGTCAACTGGTTCCGGCGTGATGAGGCTGGACGCTTCTTGTGGCCAGGCTTCGGAGAGAATGCTCGAGTTCTTGACTGGATCTGCCGGCGGCTAGAGGGGGAGGACAGTGCCCGAGAGACACCCATCGGGCTGGTGCCAAAGGAAGGTGCCTTGAATCTCAGTGGCCTGGGAGCCATAGATACTGCCCAGCTGTTCTTGCTCCCTAAGGACTTCTGGGAACAGGAGGCTGGTGAAATTAGGAGCTACCTGACAGAGCAGGTCAACCAGGATCTGCCCAAGGAGGTACTGACTGAGCTGGAGGCCCTGGAGAAACGTGTGCGCAGAATGTGACCTGAGGCTTCAGTCTAGCCAGAGAGCACAGCATCCCCCAGTCCCTCTGCCATCTAGGACTAGGAGAGCAACTAAGCTTGCACAAAACAACTTCTGGGCGGCTAGAGACCAGGCCAGAGGCCTTTCCCCACGTGCTATCCAATAAGAGATGCTCATTTTACATAACACTTGTGTTTTCATTCCCCACTTATCTTCACAGCTTCCCTCTAACACCAATTTCACAATCTTCTTCCAACTCTTTTAAGCAGCTGATGGCCATGGATAGCTCTATCTTCCGGCCATCTAAGTAGGAATTTCTGTGAGTAAGAACTATCTACTCTGTGTCCTGAGGTCTTAAAAAGGTGGAGTCCTCTGCCAGCTGCTCAGTACAGCCTCCAGGCCTAAAATTCCTAAACTTCCACTAGCCTAGCAGAAGCCTCTATAACCCCATTCTCCGGTGAAGCGGTTCAATGTCAATTCTCAAAACTGTTCTTCCTCCTGCCTGACCTGAAATTGGGTCTCACAGAGTATTGAAGAAAGCTTATTCAATATTAGAACCACTAACACTTCTATAGCCTTTTCTGTGTGGCAGGCAGTGTCCTAAACACATACAAAACAACCCTTTGAAGCAGGTTACTGATGAAGAAACAAAGGCACAGAAAGGTTAAGTAATTACTCAAGGTCACACAGTAAGCAATAGAGCCAAAGGTAAATAATAACTGCAGAGCCATGTCTTCACAGCAGCATAGACTGTAGAACTGTAAGGATCTTATAAGCTACCTATTTCATGCTTCTCAAACTTAAAAATGCAGATGAATCACCTGGGGATCTTATTAAAATGCAGATTCTCTTTCAGCAAGTCTGGGATGGTCTGGAGATTCTGATTTTCTTACAAGCCTGAGTAATGGTGATGCTGCTGGTCCAGGGACCATAATTTGAGTAGCAAGGCCTTGGCCTAAACTCTGAAATCAAATTGAGGGAAACTACAGAGAGAGAGAGAGAGAGAGAGAGAGAGAGAGAGAGAGAGAGAGAGAGCGCTCGCGCGCACGCGGATCCTACATAAATCAGGGGCATCAGCTGAGGATAACTTCATCTGTGATCAGGCTGAGTCAGTGTATAAACTGAGGTGGGTAAGATAGAAATCTGTGTAAGAACAGAAAAGCCTCTAAAGGTCAGAGTGGATCACATGCTACAATATAGTAAGCAATGGAGTCCACTGAATGTAAAAATATACAGACAAATCCTCAGCTTCATAAATAGCATGTGATGACTAAAACAATATGATCAGAAGCAGCATAACAGATGTTAGGCACATAGTAGACTCAAGCCAGTTTCTTTATCTGTAGAATGTAGATAGGCCCACACCTTCCAGTATCATTAAGATTACTAGTAAGAGTCAGTGGTGCCAGACACTCAAAACTACACCTGGCATGGAGTAATCTTTGAATATATGTTAGCTGTCTTGACCTTTCCTTACTCTTTTATTAGATCAGATTATTCTATGTTGATTAAATTGGGCTATGTAAACCTATTATATACTAGAGGCAGGTGCAAGAAATTCGTGCACGGAGAGTGTGTTCCTCTGCCCAGCCCGCACCGTCTCCAATCTGGGACCCCTCAAGGGATGTCCAACTGCCCGTTTAGGCCAGATCCTACCACGGGCAGATAGACATCCTTCTCACAATCCAGGACTGCTGGCTCCCAACAGCTCTCCTGCCTACCTTCCTGATTGCCCCTAACCGCTTCTGCCTGCCAGCCTGATTACCTCCTAACCACTCACCTGCCAATCTGATTGATGCCTAACTGCTCCCCTACCAGCCCAATTGCCCCTAACTCCCCTCCCTTGCCAGCATGGTCACCCCCTACTGCCCTCCCCTACAGGCCTGGTCCCTCCAACTGCCCTCTTCTGCCCACCTGGTCACCCCTCACTGCCCTCCCTTGCCAGCCTCATTGCCACTAATTTGCTTTCCCCTGCTAGTCTGGTCCCTCCCCCAACTGCCCTCCCCTGCAGGCCTGGTCCTCCTCAACTGCCCTCCCCTGCAGGCCTGGTCACCCCTAACTGCCCTGTCTTACAGGCTGGGTCCCCCCAACTGCCCTTTCCTGCAGGCCTGATATGCCTCCCAATTGCCCTCCCCTGCTGGCCTGATCACCCTCAACTGTCCTCCCTTGCAGGCTTGGTCCCTCCCAACTGCCCTCCCCTGCTGGCCATCTTATGACAGTCATCGTGTGTCCACATGGGACAGCCATCTTTGACCACACAGGGGCTGCCATTTTGTGTGTTGGAGTGACAATTTGCATATTACTCTTTTATTAGATAGGATTACTAACTCTGCAGTTTAAGAGTAAAATCAGCAATGTAAATGAAACTTAGAGGAGAAAGAAAATCAGTTTGGAAGTAAGTCCCTTTGGAAGTAAGAGGCAGGGAATTGGGGTTCTGGGCACCTTTCTGGTATCTAAATTCACAGTGATGTGACTATGTTAGCCTTAAAAATGACTGTTAATTAGAATAAAATGGGTTGTATGCCTATAGCTCCAGGTGAAAGATAAAAGATAAATAACACATATTTATTAACCTTTTAATTTTAAAATAGATACATAAAAACAAAGGTATAACTTAATAAACTAAAGTGAATACTCTTGAAACTATCACCTAAAAAAGAAAGAGAACTTTGCCAGACACCAAAAGTAACCTCCCATTACCACCACCACACCCACCTCCTCACCATGTTCATAATCTCCATCACAGTCCCTCCTTCCTGGCATAAATGAATACTATGGTCCACCATAATCAATTCCTGGCTGTATTTGTTTGTTTTCTGTAGCTTTATTACCCAAATGTGGATCCCTAAACATTATAGTTTAGCCTTGCTTGTTTTCCAAAATTTTCATAGACTTTTTAAGTCTCTTTTAAACTACAGGTTCCTCCTCCATTTCCTTCTTTTACCTCAATTCAACATTTGAAGAATCCAGGCCTACATGTTCAGTGTTTAGACTCATTAATTTATTAGGGATTTCATATCTAAGCTCAACAGTTGAAATACTTTTTACAAAGGAACACTCCCTTTATCTTTTACCCATTACCCTAGGGTACAGTTTATATATGACAGCAATATAACTGCTTCTTTTTCTTTATTTAGTATCTTCATAATAATGATTTGATTTCTTATCCTTCAAAAAGATGACCAATTAGCCCAGCCAGCGTGGTTCAGTGGTTGAGCATCAACCTATGAACCAGGAGGTCAGTTTAATTTCTGGTCAGGGCACATGCCTGGATTGTGGGATTCCTGTTAGGGGACATGCAGAAGGTAGCCAATCAATGATTCTCTCATCGTTGATGTTTCTATCTCTCCTTCTCCCTTCCTCTCAGAAATAAAAAAAAAAATTTAAATAACTTATTTAAAAATTTAAATAAGTTATACACACACACACACACACACACACACACCCCATTATGAACTCATGGTTTAAATGTAATGTTTACTTTTCTAAAAAAAATTTTTTTGTTGATTTTAGAGAAAGAGAGAGGAAGGGGGAGGAGATTGATTTGTTGTTCCACTTATTTATGCATTCATCGGTTGATTCTTATATGTGTCCTGACTGGGGATAAACCTGCAACCTTGGCTTATCAGGAGGACACTCTAACCAGCTGAGCTGAACTACCCGGCCAGCGCCCCTAAACATGTTATCCTTATTAATGCTCAAACTGTCCCATCTTTGACCACGAGGACTAGGCTCCTGAGTCCTTCTGGCATTACCCTTAGCTGGCTTCTTTGTTAAGTTATTCCATGCTCATCTTGTACACTTCCTGCCCCAAACCTAGAATCAGCCATTTCTCCAAGCTGTGGTTTCTTTCTGTTGATAATGGTATTTTAAGATATAAGTGGCAGAACAACAACAAAAAGACTTAGGTGGCAGGAGTATTCATTGATAACTGAAATAATCATTGTTTCTAGACCTTCACAGTGAATAGGGATCAAAAAGTAAAACACCTCATACTGATAGTTCCTACTCAAACTCAGGGGTCAAGGGTTTTTAACATCTTCTGTATCACATGTGTACCTCCTGTCTGCCACACAAAAAATTCTGGTTCTCAAAAAAAAAATTTGTTGTTGTTCTCAAGGACACAAGACACAAAAGTATTATAAAACCCATAATTATACAATCCTATATAATAAAGTGGGGATATGCAAATTGACTATCACTCTGCCACAAAGATGGTGGCACCCACAGCGGATGTGTGTGTGTGGGGGGGGGGGAGATCTGTAACACAAGATGGCTGCACCCACAGTGAAGGCTGAGTTCCCTTAATGAGCCTTAATGAGCACTCAGTAAAGACCTGAGGCTGTGCCCCACCTCACCCCCTGCCCGGTGGGGCTTGACAGGGGACCTCAGGCCGCACCCCCCACCCTGGCACCAGGCTAGGGGACCTCAGGCCATGCCCCCCGTCCAGCAGGGCTTGACAGGTGACCTCAAAGTGCGCCCCCCTGGCCCAGCACTCAGGCTTGTCCCCTCGCCCCGGGCTGGGGGACTTCACCCTGCTCAGCGTGGCTGGACGGGGAACCCGAGGCTGCTCCCCACCTCCCATTGAGACTTGATGAGGGGGCCTCAGGCCACTCCCTCCACCCAGCGGGGCTTGGTGGGGGACCTCAAGGCACGCCCCCAGCTCTGGCCTGGGCTGGGGACCTCAGGCTGTGCTCCCCCACCCTCCCCCAACATGACACCAGGCCAGGGGACCTGAGGCTGAGCCCTTCACCCAGTGGAGCTTGACAAGAATGGGACCGGCCAATTCTGGATCTATCCCAATAGGGGGCAGACAGCCAGGTTTGGGTCTCGTGCGATTCTGAGACGTATGTGGGGGAGTGGGAAATTGACTCTGGGTCCCGTGGTGCACCCCAGACTCTGACAGGAGGGAGATTTTCACATACATTTTACTAATTTTCTTTCATCTCTGACACTTCTATTATAGAGAAAGGGCAGACAGCAATATTAAAATATTTCCTCTAATTAATTACCTATTAATG